GTGAATTTATTGACTCGTATTCCAAGCTTAGTGCATGTTCAAGGAATCATATAGGAACTCGATCAAAGACAGCATTCAATTGACACAAGGGATCGAAATTGCTGATTTATTCTTGAGGTTAGAGAGTTGGTATGTTTGTTTACGTTAAAAAGCAAAACTTTTGTATACTCGTTTTTTTTTATCTCAATTTGAAGGAAATTGAAAACTGAGAGAATGAAAAATTAGTAATTGAGAGTGCATTTTAAATTTGAATGCGAAATCCATGCAATTGCCTTATGTTACTAAAATTTATAATCAAATCAACGAGACGAAAGTTGCATAAAATGGGAATAATTTCTGGTAATACATATGACATTAAAATTTCGTGCTGTCCCAGAAATTCTTAAACCTGTTTTTGCGATGTATTAACAAGGAAATTTGTTACTTATATGAAATGTATGCATGTATTTAGTCAACTTGCAGTGCAGTGCGGCATGGTCGGTCAGAGCGTCACGATCAGATTTTTGATAACCTAGCGTTCACATTTTAATAAATTGGCGCCTTATTCTTTTGTTATCAACGTTCTCGATAAATTAAGGTTAACAGAAGGATACTCTGATCTTTGATTGATTCTAACTAACGTAAATTGAGCTTTGGAAAAGGTTCGAAGATGTAGCTTTCAATAACCTTTTTTCGCAAACAGAATAAACTGCTTTAAAGACATTCACTCGATGAATGTATAAACATTTTTCTACCGTTCACTTTGAGAAATGAAATTTAGTGCTAAATGATCCTTCTGTCGCTCATTATTACTCGAGGACTTTTACTAAAGTGATCATCAACGTCATACTCCAACGATTTTAGAATTAGAATAATTTTTTTTGAATAACTGAAGAGAAATTAAAAAAATACAAAATTGTAACCCTAAAAATAACTTTGAACCGGTCATGGCTTACAAAGGCCGGATCCCTTGTGAATCAAGTCACGAAAAATTCAAGAATCGGCAACAGGCCATGGGCCTATTTCTTCAGTATCGTATCGACACTTCTATTCTATTCTATTACATTTCACTTGTAACTCTCATCATCCGTCAATGTTCTGGGTTCCGTGCTCAGATCCGCTGTTCTGCGAGCTGTGGAGCAGCCATGCAAGACTGTCTTGGGTTCTGCTACTCGGCGTCGAACGCGTCGTGCGTGTTGCACAGTAAGTCTCTCACATTCCCATTACTTGACTTTTCATTCAAATTGGTTCTTCTTGCTGCTAGGAAAATTTGTTCGAGCCTGATATAGTTAATTGCACTATTATCGTCTGCAAAGCACAAGTTCGCCAAGAATTTAAAAGCAAAGGGAGTGCCAAGTTGATTCACCCTATCATCATAAAAATGTTAGGAGACCAATTTTATTATCACTTACAAAATTTTTAGAGAAAACAAGTACAATCAACATTAAAAATTCAGAAATACACGTGAAATATTAGAACCTTAATAAAGAGAAAATGACAACAGAAAATCTATGAGTTCACAGTTTTAGAGAGATAACAACTTTTTGCATTATTGACACGTTGTAGTTATTATTGTCTCAATAACGCGTTTAGTTATTATTATTATCCCCCCCCCCTTGCATTGTACATCAATAAGTTTCCATATTCCGTTGATTTTTTCTCGTACCATAGGTTGTATTTTTTCGTGAATATTTGAATTTTAATATTTTTTGTATTTCGGGTGAACTGTTCACTCCAACGTCACTGACACACTGTGCGGATAGGAGGGAGCTACGGTAAAACTAGAGGGTACCAAAGACCTTTTAGTTAATATAAGGATTTTTTAATACTGGAATGGTATTGAACTGTCTTGAAACGAATAATTTCTTGATTTCATGGTAATTACATGTTCCAAAAATCATTTAAAATACTTTGTTATATCTCATCAATTTAATGAGGTACATGAAAGTTATTATTCCCATAACCAAGCTGCGCACGATCGCCAATTCGCTGCGACTCAGAAAGGCAAGCACGGGTTATTCATGCTAATCCACGAATAAACCGCAAATTCATAACCTTAAATAATAGAGCACCTCAACCTATACAACTTATTGATTAATTCACTAACTACTCAAAAAACAATTTAGCTTTCAAGCGAATAAGCACTCATATCCACCTAAAAATCCTTAATTCAGCTGTTTCGTGCAAACGAGTGGCAAATACAAGTTAATGCCGTGCAAATGAGTCAATGTGAGCACAGAATGTATTTTTAGACTGACAATTTTTACCACTTTATTTTATTTTATTAGCAATCCATTGTAACAGAATCGTCTGCCTTGTCGAACTCCACGATGATCGTCGGCATGAGAAGCTACTCTTACTACCCCGCTGCCGCTCACGCCACTGCTTTTGCCAACTGCCGAGCCTTGAACAGCTACCTCGCTATACCGGCAGTAATGAGACTAATCTTTTATGACAACAATTAATAATATAGGAGAAATTTAGTACGTAGCATTCCTTAATAGACAGAAACTTTTTATTATTGACTGTACTTTAGATAATCGTAGGATTGTATTCCGTTTTAGTGTATAACCCTTTTAATTCATCTTAACCAGATAATGAGATCTGTAAAATGTTTATTAACAAGAAAAACAAATTTCGTGGTAAAATCTTACGGTATTGCGTACTTGAAGGCAAAATTATTCACTTCCAGACAGCGTCTGAAGTCACCGATATACGCGCTGCCGCTAACGGAGCTGGCGGGATCTGGATAGGCATTGATGCTGTTGGGCACAACGGACAAATTTTCACTTCCGGTAGCCCAGCCGATTACGGAGGTAAATGAATTTTTTTGTTTAAACATATGTCTATTAGTTTCCCGTTTTTGAATATCAATAACTAATTTTGATTTTGCCACCTTTCCAATATTCAAAGTTTTCCTTTCAACATCTCTATTTAGTATTAGATATTATCCGGTCGGTGTTCCTGAATTGAAAATTTTAAACTTAAAAAAATTACCTTGAGCAAATTCAGCAGAAATCTCTCAGCACTAAAATTCACACTCGAACTATTTCTTCAGCGCAAAAAACTCGTTAAGATCAAGCGGTAAAAACATATGGAAGCCCTTCAACATTTATTGCAGCCATAACGATGTCGTAACAAGTTAATAAGGTCCGCGGTCTGGAATATTAAAGATTGAAGGCTGATACGTCTAGCAATAAATCCGTGCATTTCAAGCACTATGGGGGTAAGGAGAAGCGTAACCCTGAGGCAGTACTTTCAAATCTCGTTTAACAGACATGCAGCGGCCTAAGTAACTGTTGAGGCCCATATCTCGTCTGTGATTGGCGGGTTTAGTGTAATAGGCCACCAGTAATTGGCCGACGAAGGTTAAAACTTTAAATTATTTTATATGAATCAGTCCACAATGAAATGTCTGGCCACTTACTGCAAAGCCACCAGCCAGCAGCGGATTGCATATCCCGTCAGTAACATACCTGTAACCTCTTTATTTTATCTACACTACCCAAACTTCAGAAAATAATAGCCTGATGTTTCATGGCTTACAATCACTTGAAGCTCGCGTTAGCGCTCGAATTGCCCCCTCCCACACATTGCTGCTTTCAACAAACCAAGTATATAAAATATAATTTTTCGTACGATTTCTCACTTGTCGGTGTGAGGCACGTTGGTTTGTTGGACTAGTGTCTTTTGCCGATAGGCGCTGATTACATGTAGGCTTAAATTGTTGTAATAATGGATGCATTTAAACGAGCGTGGTGGGAAGCTGGGCACTCGGTCCTCAGGGCATAAACCAGAAAATGACAGAACTTTTTTTCTGATTCTGACATGTTATTTCTCAGTAAACATTACCTATTAACATTGCAATTGATATATATCTTAATTGTAATAATATAAATCATGTGCACTAAATAGATATCGATCATATGATTTTAAATTACTTATTACTTTAGGTAATATTTGTGAATATTTCTACTCTTAGATCAACCTGTGAAGTACGCACCATTCGCTCCTGGACAGCCACAATATTTGGCGACCACAGAACAGTGTCTGATGATTTGGACAAATGGATTCCACGATGTAAGCTGCACTGCCCTGCTCCAGTACGTCTGCCAGTCGTTTGTACCCTACAGCTGTGTTGCACTGCCTCATCCTGCCTACTCCGCTGACTACATGTGCTACAGCAGACTGTAATAATTAAACTAGTCACATCTATTGCCGTCTGTGACAAGTTTGGTTCACAGTTTGCCGGTACCTGCGTGAATTGCTTCGTCTCATCCGATCAATCTGACTCATTGATCGCACTCATGCTGCTCCTATCATGGATCCCTATAGAATAGAATAGAACTGAAGTGTTTGCACAGAAGAAATAGGCCCATGGCCTGTTGCCGATTCATATACATTTCGTGACTTGATTCACAAGGGATCGGTTCATTGGATCCGATCTTTCCATAACTGACGGTTGATTGAGATAGCTACTGGACATATTGCCTGGTCCGTAAGGTGCCAGGCATTTTAAGACTGAACATGTGCATCTGCATAGCTTCGTCTAGTCTGCTCTTGAAGGCGTTCATACTCGGAGCGTCAACGATGCTATCAGGGAGGCTGTTCCACATGTCGGTGACTGGAAGCGAGAAGAAATGTTGTCGCATGGATGTTTTACAACGCAGTTCTTCTAGTTTATAGCCGTGGACCCTGGTGTTGGTTCTTGTTTATTCTAGTAATCCTTCTGGGACCTTGTATAAACCATGAGTATGCTTGTTTAATTCAATGAGGTCACCACACAGACGTCGATAAGAGGCTTGGAAGCTTTCTTCATAAGACTTGCCTTCCAAGCCCGGAATTATGCTTGTTGAACGTCTTTGAACACTCTCGACTAAATTTTTGTCCTTCTCAAGTTTCGGTGACCACACGACGTTTCCAAACTCTTGGTTCGAGCGCACGACAGCAACAAACAACTGCTTCATCGCTTCTGCATTTAGGAACTCAAAAGAGCGTCTGATCAGTCTAAGTCACTTATTGGCTTTATTAACTTAAAGAAAAAACCGAAGACGCTCAGGACAAGCCTAGCACGTATTAAGAAATACCACTGAGTTCTCATCACCTTTCCATTATTGAAGTACACACCGTGCCGCAATTGTGCATAGAATCTGTATTTCCACATTTGAGACAATGAAACTATGCCTATGTACCGAACAGTGAATAGTACCGTTATGTTGCCAGCAAGAAGCAACGGCACCAGCAAATGAGATCTAAAACTCGAAAGGACTGATCAAGAAGGACAAAGAAAAATGTTATCTGGCCTGCACTTAATTCATTGCATGTTTTATATCCGTTTGTGAATGGCAGTGTGCAGTTGAATAAAGATGCTTGTGAAAATTCGACGTTTCCTGTTCATCCTCCCAATGTTGGGAATTCAATGCGATTCCTCATTTCCATGAAAGCGTAATCAACTTTTAAGAGGTAAAGCCTTGAATTGAAAAGATCTACTCAACTCACAAAAATATTTGATGGATTGACGATGAATAATGAAAAATTGTTTGACCAAAGGAATAGAATCGTGTGGAATCTTTATGGAAGGACTTGCTCAATGTTTTGAATTTAGTCGACTTTCCACAGAGGGTTGGGTGAAAAAACCTACTCGAAAAATTGATCAAATCTCTTGAGAAAAGTTAATTTTGTATATTATTTTCTTTAATCAACTTGCGATTTCCAAGTCGTTTAGATATCTGGCTGTTCCGAACGTAAACAAAAACATTCCCTTAACAAATTTAATTAAATGATTGAACAGTCCCTGAGTCAATATTTTTCGCCAAAGTCGAGAATTATTTTAATTGTACTCCTGCGCAGCTAGTGGCTGCGATAATTTGTGGTATGTGGCTTGAATGATTTTTTAATTAGTTAATTAACCAATGACTGTCGCAAAAGAACTTCGATCTCCACAATAGTCGAGAAATTATAATTATTTTTCATTATTCATTATTCTTTATTTCACACAGCACATGATACTAAAACAACATGATTGAGTAACAAGCTTACTATAGTGAAGGTCCAATGCCGATATTAGCTAAAAAGTATCGTAGGCCACATATATGGCGAATAACTCAAATAAATAATGACTGGACGGACAAAGATCAAACACATCCTATTAAATTAGCCTCCTGCAAAACTGATAGCAGCCAGTCACTAAAAGTTAACCTAACAAAGGCAATATCAACAATACGGTGAATAAAACAGATAAATTCAAAACAACACGTCACAACACTGGTATCTACATGATAATCGACTTCAAATCATCAATAGCGGATATTGTCATTAATATTTTTGGCGAAATAATTTTTTTTAATTATCATGATACATTTCTAAATATTTTTGAAGCATTTGAGGTCAGGAAATGCAAGATGAGGAAGCCCGGCCTACGCAGGCACCGGCGTAGGGGAACTGACACACGAAATTGTAAGGCAGCTTCGGTCGTTCCACACTGGGCATCTGACTGAATGCAATGTTCACTCACTGGGTTGTTCGGCTCGCCGCTTCTCCAAAAATTTTGAACAATGGGACGATCTACAATGAATTAATGAAAATAACTTCAAATCACTTAAATATGAATCCTTGTGGAATGAATTCTGATAAAAGAATTTCTCACATATTGCGAATTGCTTCATTTCTCACAGCAATGCAAAGTCTGCGCTGGAAGTCACACGTTAATTCTGCAATCAAAATGTAATATAAAAGTTCCTTTTTTCGTCATAAAAGATTACCTCCCTCTGGCGCGCTGCCACTGGTGAAGAATGTGCCGTTTTGGCCGACCATGTCTCCTCCCAACCGCACCTGCTGATTTTTTGCCATCATGTTGATGAACGAATTTTCTTCGGCATTCTACAGTAAAATCCCGGAATACATAGTAAAAAGTTTTGTAAAATAGTTTCAAAATTAGAAGTGGTAAATTTTCCCTACTATTGTTCAAGTAACTTTCAGAATTTTATGAAACGGAAATGGTTGCTTGTTTGAAATTTTAAGGTAAGTATCTAAATCATCCCTACGGTACCAGTTGCATGTTTAAATATATCTGTAAACTTGAATTGAAGACGATAACTGTTTTCAATGTGATAGCAGTGTGAAAAAACTCGAATTCAGATACAAAATTTTAGGACATTAGCTTCACCCCCTGACACAAATCAAATCAACTTCGTGCAGACAATTCCGCCGCAATACGTAGCTTTTCCTATTGAAAGTGTGTTCCTGGATGTTTTTCTTCAATTTACCCCCTTTAAACAAATGCATAAGTTATTAATTCGAACCATCTGAAGAAATAACGACTTGAGTAAATAAATAATTTCAACTATATATTGAGAGTAGCTACCTCAGATAGAGCTGCTATTAAGCCTTTGAATAGTAAAATTTTTTTAATTCATCAACATTTTCCCATTTCGCCTTTTTATTTTATTATTTTTTTTGGGGGGGAGCACAAAAAATGACCTGATTGAAACGATGCAGCCAATGAAGACGAAAACTTGAAAGTTCAGACCGTTCAACTTTGAGTGGTTTCAGTAAGTGTTACTTGTCAAATTGTTTGCCCTCATAATACGAGATGAAAAAATTATTTCGTACGAGTCGAAAATTTAATAACCATTTGAACTAATCTTCATTTCCACCAAACTAGTGAACAAAGGGAATATGTAAATTAGGCATTGCGATTATCTCTCATGATCGATAAACAGTCAGCTTTTAAACAGATCATAATATCGTACCATGGAAAATGCCAAGTAGCCTCCTAACCATTATTTTTCATCACGGGAAATGCTGACTAGCCTCCTAGCCATAATGTCTAATCACTGGCAATGCTAAGTAGCCTCCCGTACACGAAGTCTCATTATGAGAAATGCCAATTATCCTCATAACCATAATGTCCCATCGTGTGCAATTCCAAGTATCTTCCTAGCCATAATGCCTCACCATGGGGAACGCGAGGATGCCTCTTGGCCATAATGCCTCACCATGAGAAACGCCAAGAAGCCTCCTAGCCTAATGCCTCACCATAGGAAACGCCAAGAAGCCTCCTAGCCGTAATGCCTCACCATGGGGAACGCCAAGAAGCCTCCTAGCCTAATGCGTCACCATGGGGAACGCCAAGAAGCCTCCTAGCCTAATGCGTCACCATGGGGAACGCCAAGAAGCCTCCTAGCCTAATGCCTCACCATGAGAACGCCAATTAAGTAGCCTCTAATTAAAGTACATGGACGTCCTGCAACTAGGTGAAAAGAAGTGCTGCATCCTCGAAAAATTAACCTTTGACATCAACAATTCATGATGAATCTGTAAAATCATAATAGTGGGTTTTTAAACGGTAATGCATCTTTTTCAGAAGTGTTAAATTGCAGATTTATTCTATGGTTTTAATTTTTTTAGATTTATGACAACAAGTAGACTTAAATCATTATAGATGAAAAAATGAAGGAATATTACGCGAGTTCATGATTAACCTCACGATCATAATTTCCAATATTGCAAAGTTGCAACTCCCCATTTCAGCTAACTATAATTCCTTCTCAAAGTTCCCTTTTATAATAATGAATAAATCAATATTAACAATTTAAATATATATATATTTTGCATAACAGAATTCTGTTACGATTAAATCAATCGATGTTATCTTATACAACTAGCGGATCATTTAAAATATCATCAAACGACGGTATAAGTCTCGCCGTTGAGGTAGCAGGAGCTGAGTGCGGTAGAGTGGCAGAAGGCTGAGCAGGTCGAATTCGCATGGCACTCTCGAGAACACGCCATCTGACGTTCAAATGAAAAAATTCTCTAAAGCATTCATCATGACTTAGGTAATCAACAATTTCGATAGATGTCAATTAAAAATTAAAGAGTCCACTTAAGTCTTTGATGTACATTTCGAATGAAGTTCTTCTTGTAAAGGCTTAATAATTCAGTATTAATTAAGAGAAACATCACCGAAAATGAAAATTTTGGCTTCAATTATTCTTCATTCGTTTCGATAGCGTCTGCTGTACAAGAAATAATGGGATTCTGTTTTTGATCATCTCATCTTGGCTGTTAAGGACAGCTTTGAAAATGAAGTTTCTATATACAAGCTTCTTCGACTGCTGTGAAACTCATTCCTTCATTACTCAAAATTGCTCCGGAACTTAATGAGCTATATAATAGGCATGAAGTTATCGAGATTTTCAACTTGAAGAGCATGTTTTCACTTGTCGGCTTTGTATTTGTAACGCTTTGTAAATTGTCTTTAAAAATTATCTTTAAATTGTCTTTAAATTTTCCGGTCCCTCAGCAGACTATCTGATTTT